AAATTTATAGTCTGAAATAAAAGAATTGATACTTAGGAAAAGTTTAGTATTATTGTACTTGTACGGGATAGTGTCGATGCCGTTAGGATTTGTTATACTAAAATGCGTTACGCAGTTAGCTGTCCATTATCACGCATATCGGCTTACTCTCCATACCAGCCTTAATCATGGCCACGTGGAAAGCTGCTTCCGACCACGTAGGCACCTGTTGCCTACGAAGTTAACTTGCCACCTATGTTGATAGGTGGCACCAGCTTGCTTTTCTTCCTATAAATACCCAAGCATAATTCATTGTTAAGGTACAATCTTTATCTCTCTAACTCTCTCTCTCTAAACACTCTTCATCTTTACTCTTATTCTTCTCCTCAAATTGCTAACTTTATTTAGCATCGGAGCGGTTATCCCCGAATAATCTCCCGGGTTAGCTAATTTGTGCTGACTGTGCTGGTGCTTAATTGGCCGATAAACCATTACGGATCCCAAGACTCAAGTTACCGGAGCTCACCCGGAAGAGTACTAAAGAATCAAATTGAGCCTAGGATCACATGGTCTTTCTTACGAGCCTAGGATTCCAAGCTTGGTACAATAATAATACGCGCGTTTGAGCGAATTATTATCTTGCACGTCAAAGATCCCTTTGGAATATTGAGTAGCGTGTGGGGTAAGTGTGGTCCAAATTCCATTGCCCAACTTATTACATCTCAATGTTTCTCAAGTTTTCTAGAAAACTCTACTACGTTGAGATATTGATGGTGAATAGTGGAAGAATCTAGAATTGGTGAGTGGTTATGAAGATTCTAGATTTATGTGGCAATTCAAAGAGCATGTGTGTAGAATTTTCCACACACTTCTTCCACCTCCATACATCACCTATAAATAGTGGTGTTGACCATCATATGAGAGAACATCATCCTCCAATGCTCCGATCCGAGTTTACTTACAAATATCCGCTCCCAAAGATATATATTATGATCAGAGTTTCTACATACACACAATCTCTCTAATTCACTACTCCCTCCATGTTTTAATAACTGTTACACTTTGAACGAAACATAGTTTTAGGCAATTTAATTGACTTAAATAAAATAAGATGTAAGTGGGGTAGTTGGTGTATTAAAAAATTGTAAAAAAGATAATGGGGTTAATAGTTTATTGAAAAGTAATGAATATAAGAAAAAAGAAATTATAAAAAAAATAGTAGTGAATTTAAGTAGGAACCATAAAAGAAGAAAAATATAGTATTATTATGTCACTGATAGATGGTTTATGATAGGAAAGCTACACACATACTATTAATTCGTTCCATCCATTGTAATACACATTTGTTGTAGACTATCCAGAAAAGAAAATGTCATCTTCTTTATTTTAGGATAATAATGTGGGTCTGTTTTCCCCACACTATTTTTTAGTAACAACCGAAGATGTGTAATGTTGGCCATTCTCACAACAAAATTTTAAATGTAGCTAACATAATCAACTTCTTCAAAGTATGACAGAGTATAATATCAATACTTTCTCCCCATAATTGAGTCGGAAATCCAACAAAACATTAAACTGAAGCATATCCTGACAGATTAATTTTAGGCAATTATGGTGCATCAATGAAGATTGTAACTGGATTAATCTTTGGGGTGTATTTGAATTATTAATTCCAAAAGTGAGGTGTTAATCCTCCAATATCGGACAACGTCTTAGAAGCGGTGCCAAACATAGAGGAATTTCGGTAAATTCTTCTAAGGATAACTTCACTAGTCCTGGAAGTCGAAATTTCTATTGCAATGGGCAATTCTATCGCATCTTTGCAAAGTAACTCCAAAGTTAGTGAGACTATAACACGAAAGATAATCATCGGACTTCCGATTCCATTGTAAAAGTCTTTAAGAATGATAATTCTGAAGGGAGTTAGGGGTGAGCACGAATCGGATATCCGATCCGAAATTGGATTTTGGATCAAATATCTGTATCCGAAAATTAGGATATTTGATATCAGATATCCAATCCGAAAGTTTCGAATATCTGAAATTTTCAGATCGTGATATTTTAGATATTTAGTATCCGAAGATTTTTAAATAAAATTGTAGAAAATTTCAATTTTATTTATAAATTTTTGATTTAGTAGAAATTGAATCAAAAGAATGATAATTGTTTCAATTTCTCATTAAAAAAACCCATCGACAAAAAGATAATTGAACATTTATGAAAACTAGATCAACACATATGAAGTATCAAATTTACAATCTGAATATCAAAAAAAAAAAAAAATACGATACGAATATTTACATCGATCTATCCCTAAAAGCGAAAATGAAAAACTAGATCTTAGCTAAACTAAAATTTCAGACGATTGATGGAATTGTTCTCTGTTGATATGTTCCGATCCTCTTTCCTCGGTCCAGCTAAAAGCTCATTAATGGCGGGCATTAATGGGGATTGTAAAGCAAGTTAAGCAACCATGATGAGGGGATTTTAAAGAAATAAAGAAGTAACATATTACTCCATCCGTCCCTTATTGATAGTCCTGGTGAAATTTCACGATAATTAAGAAACTTAAATTAGAAGTAGTAAAAGTACATTGAAACGGTAAATTTACATAGGGTATGCAAAAAAGTAACTAGAGAGAGAAAGTAATAAAATTATATGATAATGCAAAATTTACATATGGAAGATAAATTTGCACAAATATTGTTGCAAATTGGAGGAAATTTTGGTAAAAATTAATATTAATAGTTGTTGGAAAAAACGACTATCATTGTACGAGACTATCAATATGAGACGGAGGGAGTATAAAGTAGGTGATATTTTCGAATATCGGATATCCGAAACCCAATTTTTGGATATCCGATCCGATATCAGATCTTTTTGAATTGGATATTTGATCCGAAATCGATTTTGGATTGTATATCCGTAATTTTCGGATCGGATTGTTCGTATTTTCGGATTTTCAGATGGTTTTGCTAAGCCCTAAAGGTAGTTGTAGGTTGAATATTTGGATTTTGGGTGATTTGAGGTGTTGTAGGATTCTGTGAAAGTTCTTCGTGACTCCGGCAGCCAAGTTTTCTTCGTCGGTTTCGAGGTAGAAACAAGTAATGCCTTTCCATACACGGATACACCCCTCCGGCGCCTCGATAGGACGGAGGTGGTTATGGCGTTGTTGATATGGAGGTGGGAAACAATCTGCGTGAGGATGTCATCAGGAAGTAAACTCAAACGATCAATAATGATGGAGCAAGTTCTGTCGACCATTTGTGCAAATAAATAAGTGTTATTGTTACTCAGCAGAAGAGAACAAAAAGAAACAGAGGGAATTCTCGGGATCTTTTTTATGAAAGTATTATTTCTGAAATTTGAGTGCTTGAAATTAAAAAGAGTTGAGAAATGATTTGATTTATAAGGGAAGGTTGATATTTATAAGTGTAGTTTGGTTGTCACATGTAATTCAAGATTTATCCTAATGGATTTATTTAATTTTTTGAAAATTGAACGCTGGTTTTATTTTTATTTTTTCAAAAGTATATATGACATGGAAATTTAGCTCTTTATAATCAGAAAAATTCCTTATTACATATTTTTTTTTGGTGATCGCAAATGGCAAGCCCTATTTATTGGAAGCATGTTATATACACCCGAATAGGTGTACTGTATACCAATGAGTATTTTGTTCTTATTTTGATGATTGTTTTTAATTTAATCATCAAATGAATAACAAACCACTAACCTTGGATTACTTGAGTGTACGATACAGCCGGGTGTGTATAATAACAAATTCTACAAGTTATTATAATTAATATTAGATAGATTTGTGGTTATGTAAAACAAAAGTAAAAAAAAAAAAAAAAAAATTAACAAACAAAGTAAAGGAATATGTGGGTTTATATAAACCAAAACAATTCTGCCGTAGTTAAGGTTGAGCATGGAAGACAGGTTTAGTTCAATTTCAGATGAGATTAAATCTTCAAGTTTATGAATATGATTAACTCGTTTAACAAAATATTTTAGACATGAGATGTGTCTTGAGTAGGTGTTGAAGTTACTATATAATAGCCATCATGGATTTAAACATTAATGCCAACAATTCATTATTTGTATTTACTATAATGAATAGTAATTGTATATATATTTTTTTTGTTGCCCAAATTTTATGGTGATATAACTTATGTTAATTTATTTCTTTTCTTATAATTATTATATATGTTATTCATACATAAACACATTGGTAAATTAAGCCTAGAAAAAGAGCATTTATGGACAAAAATTATTATCGGTGCTGATTAGTAACGTACCTTCGATGTAATTCTAATTGCCTTAATTTTTGTTTTTTTTTTTTGACGGGGCCTCGTTTTCTTTAAGATCGAGATTTTATCTCTTTGCATTATCTCTTGAATATCTCTATTAAAAAAAAAATAATAAAATAAAAACTCTCTAAATACCATTGTTGTCTCACATACACGGATACACCCACCCACCTATTTTTTTTTTTCCTACAATTTCTTGATTGTCTCATAAAAAAAATTAAAATAAATGTACCCATAGTATTTCTCCTTATGTAATGATAATGCTCTTTTGATTAATGAGTAGTTTGCTTGCTTCCCCTAAAAAAAAAAAAAAAAAGAGTTAAAATTAACCTAAAATTACACTTTTATATTACAAAATTTACCATTTTCTTAAAATATATTTTACCCTTAAAAAGCCTTTATAATGTACTATAAAAGACATTAAAGTTACCATAAAAAATATTAAAGTTATCTCAAATTGACCATCTCACCATATAATATGATAATCTAGAAAAATAAGTACAGACAATTGTCTAAATCAAAATAGAAAAATCTTGTAGAAAAAATTAGAGTACGTAGATAAGTCTAAATATAATTAGAATATTGGAGTAATGAACCGACACTAGAAACACATGTTAGGTGTATCTTTATGTGGTGAGATTTAGTGTGAAACAGTATTCCACTTAGAGCTCTTACAAATAATGTAGTATGAAAAATATTAAACTTTACTTATATATACTTGATAAAAAAAATTAAGATTTTTAATTTTGTATTCTAAATTGTAGATAAAAATCACTCTAAACAACTTTTAGGTTGAACATCCCCAAGAGTTGACCCCTCACAATTACTGCAGAATGAAGAAGCTAGCTTGTTCTTATAAGTCAAATTTATATTCTTCAACTTTATGCCCGAACAACGATGTTTTGGGCTACAATCAAATTTCACAGCAATTGATGTTGCTGATGATCCATGAATATCATCATATGTCACGTCATTTATTCTTACCCCAGAAACCTATTCACAAAAATAACAAAAACCGTTAAATTTTTTTTAAGAAAAAAAAATAATTGAAATAAGATCTCAAATTTAAAAATATAGTTTATATACCTCTCCAGGACAATTCTTATGATTGGGGCAATATTTTTGGTCAATAATAATTGGATTTCGAGCATTCTCCATCGTAAGATGTTGAAAGACAACATTACTAACTAATCCATCACTTGGTCTCCCCCATGACTTAATTCTCACTCCATTTTCCGTATTAGTGAAGGTCGACGTTTGTACAGTGACATTGTGCACTTTTGCCTCGTGAAAAGTTTTTCCTAAACTCCCAATACTTATGCCATGACCGGGACCACATGTAATACCCTGAATCCATAAATTTTTAGTTCCCGGGCCAATTGAGATACAATCATCTCCCGTAGCAATGTTCGAACTCGATATTGTAACATCAATTGACGATTGTACATGAATACCATCGGTGTTAGGGCTATGACCCGAGGCGGAAATCGTAATTCCGTGCACTTTCACGTTTCGACAACCATCAATAACAATATGGTACAATTGACTATCTAATGAGGATATACCATTTATTTCAATGTTTTGGGAATTTAGAAAACCTAAACTCTGCAATAAAAAAAAATCGTTACTTATTTAATATAAAAAAATCAATAAAAAATTATATGGATTAATAAAAAATATTAATTTAATGTTTTTAACATCAATAACTGTATATTAAAAACAAAACTAAGAATTACACTTGTTATATCCTAGCCCATTTAACTTTCCTTTTTGCTCAGATTCTTCAAGGAAATTATTTTTTAATAATCCAAAATATTTCCTTTTTGCATTGCACGGGACTTAAACAAATGTAATAAAAGAATGAATTAGTAACTCAATTATTTTCATTAAATAGGGTTATTTACTCGAACTTGTATGTTAATTAAACAGATTAAATATTAATTTGCGGAAAAGAAAAATATCATTATCACAAGCTCTTTAGTATAAGTTAATAATTTACTCAAAAAAAAAAAGGAATAAGTTAATAACATTAACACAATAAAATACTATATGATTATATATCGGAATAACAACCAAAAATCCTAATGCTAGAAGGTTAAAGATTAAATAAAACTAATTAAATAGATTAATATTATTCTTTTAAAATTTTAAAACTAACTTTTTAATTTAAGTACATGCGTCACACAATAACTTTACGACTGAGATCAAATAACATAACAAAAAATAGGTACTAGTTAAATTATATATTAGAGCATTACTTCTATCATACTAGCATATTAAAATTTACACATAGAAAATAAATAACTTACTTCCACACCACGAGGACATGCTCCTTTTCCAGATCGTTTACAATTCCATAACTCAGCTCCTGCAGCGTCAAACACTCCACCAGAAAGAGTAACACCATCGACATGCTCAAATAACACCCATGTTTTTGAGTTTTGAAGCACCCGAAAATCACTAGGGGCTTTAAGGGTTCCGTTGATAACAAAATTAATCTTACTACTTTGACATCCCTTTCCAGAAAACTTGAGGGATTTTCTAACAAAGAATTCTCCTTCCGGAATATGAATTGTCGACTCGCCCGATGAATTACAAGCTATATTCCAAGCCGCCTCCAACGCCTTAGAAGAGTCCGAATTTGAATTGGCTTTTGCTCCAAGGGTTACTACATCATAATAGTTGTAAGTTGCGCTAACAAAATTTAGGTTGATGATCACTAAAATTATTGACAATGTTACAATTATGATCTTCATAGTAACAAAAAGCGACTGTATAATTATTAAGAAAAAGAATACGTAAAATTTTGGTGCGACTGTAGAGAAAAAATATGTGAAATTTTGGTGAAAGAATCTTTAATTTATAGATGTTGGATATGATATACTAGTTCCAAAAGCATACAAACACAATTTTTTTTTTGAAAATTATGGATAATATTGTTTTTAGTTAAGATGATTTGATAAATTTTCATAAGATTCTAATCATATGTCATTTTTTTTATCTTTTTAAATATTTTACTATCGAAATTTACTGTGTACATTATAGATTGATAAGATAAAAAATAAAAAATTTAAACTTAACTATCTCTAGAGCTACGTTATTTTTGCAAGTATTTGTTCCAGCTACCCAGGGCATCTTCAACTTGTGAGATTGTGTTTAGTTTATGTGGGTTTAAAGTATTAAGTGATGACTGAAATAACATTACTCCTGAAAACATCAGCCTTTTATTCTTCGCCTCTAATTCTATCTAAGTAACATTTCTGTATGCAACTTCTTGGTTCCCCAAAGCCAAAATAATCCAAGCGTTATGGCTGACAATAAGTATTGACTTCCAATAACTTTACTCTCTTGATGTATGCAGTTGTTTGTTTTATAAGTGCTCAATGTGTATCAACAACCTAAAACCTTGCTATTTATTCATCTTTTTGGTTATTGTTATTTAATCATTTTTAATTTACTTCTTGTAATTTTTTTATTTTTTTTTATAGTGATAGTGAGGTGTGACAATATGAGGTGACAAAAGAAACTTAGAATCACAAAAGGTAGTCCTCTGAACAATATCAGAGTGATAGAGAATATTCATAGAATATTCTCATCCTAGGTTTAAATATATTTTGTGTAAGAATATTTTTATGATATCTTTACATATATTAATTACCTAATATGATCAGGACTTTCATTGTAACTTTATAAATATCTTATAAATATTGATCAATGAAAGTCACTCTAATCATATTAGGTAATTAGCAAGATATATTCTATCATCTTGGATTATTTTTCAAGTATTAGCACCCATACCATCACCTATTTTTTACAGGACCAATACCATCATCTTAGCCCTCAACTTATATAATAGAACTCTTAGATCGACAGGAAGCAAGGGAGAGAAATAGGAGGGTTTCAATAAACCTACTCAATTCTGCAGTATGTGCACTACTAAAGCCTACAGGAGAATAAAGGGCACGGAAGATCGTTTGAGTTCACTTCCAGATGAGATTCTGGCCGATATACTCTCTCGTCTCAAAATCAATTCCGCCGTTGCCACCTCCGTCTTATCCCATCGATGGCGCTACCTTTGGACTGGTGTCACCGCTTTCAAATACTACGACAATGACGTACTTTACGTTTCCGAACTAGCCTCAAACAAATTCTCCACCATTGTCGTCGACATTGTTCGACAACTGACCTCTCAGACACTCCATGTCTTCAAACTTCAGTTAAGTTCGCTGTCCAACTTATGTAAACCTAGTGTTGCAGACGCATGTTTCCGGGAAGTTTGTGGCCGAAACGTGGAGCAGATCATTATTGAATCGGATTGCCCTCATTCTATGGATTGCTTTCCTGTTCCGGCGTTTCTGTTTTCTTCCAAGAATCTGGTAGTTTTGATATTAAAAGGTATGATCAAGTTTGATTTGCCAGATATTCAACTTCCGAATTTGAGGAAGATTGATCTAAAGTATCTTGTTAACATCCCTCCTTATCAGTTTATGGGGCGTCTATTCAAGTCTTCTAAACAATTGATAGAAGCAGAATTGATATTCTGGGACTGTATAACCCAACCCGAACCCCAGATTGTTCTGAATATATCAGCACCGAATCTGAGGTCGTTGCGAATAGAGATGATGGCAGATAAGCACACCCAACGACCTAAAACCTTCATCGATGCACCCAACTTGGAGACATTTTATGTAAGTAGCCTCACTTCAGATTATTACTCTATCCGAAATTCAACGAAATTAGTCAAAGCATCGATTCTCATGCATTGGAATGGAGGGTATTTAAATTTACCAGTTGGGCAAGAAGACTGTCTACGGGACGTATTCAAGTTTGTCGGGCAAATGTCTAGTGTTAGGGAGCTTCATCTATGGCTAGAGGATGACGAACTGACCAATGTATATCGTTACCTTAATTCTGTTAACCTCGGGCTTATGACAACCTTTCCTAATCTAGAACATCTTGATACGAATTTGGATTATGTTGGATGGAAGGATTTGCTACTTTGTATGAAACGCTTTCCTAACTTAAGGCGCCTTAAAGTGTACCTAAATACGGATTCAGATCTTGTTATGGATCCCACAAATTGGTGTGTACCAGAGTGTTTAAGTAAGTTGAAGACGTTAGACATATCTGGACTAGATGCTATTGATGATGAGCTCGTGTTGCTAGAGTACATTCTACACAATGCACTTGTTTTGGAAAAGCTTTATGTAACATGCGGTGAATATTTTACTGCTGAGGAAGAAGCTCGATTAAGGGAAACGTGTAATTTCTGTGAGTCTTTGTTCCGTCTAGCCAGGGCATCTTCAACTTGTGAGATTGTGTTTAGTTTATGTGGCCTTATAACATCAAGTGATGATCAGACGCTTACCCTTACACCTGAAAGAATCAGACAATGTTTCCTCATTAATCCAAGCCTATGATATCAATATAAATTCTAATGTAGTCTTATGACTTTTGACTACCACAATTTTTTTTTTTTAAAAATTGACGGCTGAGATTGTTTGTTTTTTAGTTTAGCTTTTGATGTATGCAGTAGTTTGTTTTATGCTTAGAATGACTTTAAACCTTGCTAATTACTCGTATTATCTTTTTGGTTATGGTTATGTAATCGTCTTTAATTTAATGGTAGTTCAGTTTTTGTTTCAAAAAAAAATAAAATTGGTAGTTCAGTTTTTAAGTAAATTCTAGTTATGTGCCTCAGCATGACATGGTTATTATGGTGTGTGTATGACTCAAAATGTCATGCTCTATATTCGAAATTGGCTAATTCATGTATATATATGTTCGTTGTTAATTAACTGAGTACTAAGAAATTCGATAGTCATAGCATAGAAATATAGAATCGAGATAAGGGCACATATATTAATATGTATTTTCAAAAAGTGATTGCACAAGGTAAGTAGTCTATTGAATTTAATTAAGACGATATATATCAAAGTTATAGATCTTTTGTTTCAGGGGTTTTAATCGTTTTGTCTGCTATCAGTGATCAATCTGTAGTATGTAATTAACAAGCCCAGTTTATGGCCATTGGAATATGCTCTTAATTTGATGCTAATTTTTTGTGCCTCTTTTGCTTCCTGGAATATCATATTGATTGAAATATAGTGAGCCACTTTTAGGATTTCATGCATAATTATATTTCTATGATTTAGTTATGAGCAACTGTATTAAAAAGGATAAACACATCATTAGTTATTTGACCAATGGTATCTTAATTTAATATCAACTCGAGAGTGCTCTAGGCGATGCACTAGATATATTTTTTCATAAGTGCGTCTTGTGTGCGGCTGACCACACCATGTGGCCACTTGTAAAAGAACAAGGTAACCCCTATAACACTGACCCGGTAACCCTTGTACTATTGACCAAGTAACCCTATAACACTGACGAAGTAACCCCTGTAAAACTGAACGAGTAACCCATATAACACAAACAAAGCAACCCTCATGATGGATGGCCACACCGTGTGGCCAGCCACTTATAAAACTTTGGGATTTTTCATAATCTAGTTTAATATTGAAAATTAGACATCATAAAGTGATAAGTAAGATATTAGTAATTAACACAAAACTCTTATATCTTTTGGAATAATAGATACTCGTAGTTTATACTAATATAATTTCTGCATTTATTAGAGATACAATGTTATTTGATGCTATGTATTTCATATCATATCATATATCACTAAATAAATAAAGCCGGTCTCGCAACCAGGCCACGAGACAGCGACACTTGACATTTCAGTTATTCGCCAAGTGTCGCGCCACGTAGGCGATAAATAGGTATTGTTGTGACACGTATGATGCTAAGTAAGCGATGTTTTGATAGATTTTTTAAGATAAAATTGTTGTATAAAGTTTTATTATCGATAGAATTCTAATATTTCATATATACAAAATTAATCATAACTTTTTATAAATATCCTATAACTCAATTATATTTTCATCATCAAATTCATTTTAAAAAGTTATTCAAAATAAGATTCATTTATAATATATTTAAAATAATAGAGAATTAGTAAAAATAAGTTTTAATTGGTAAAAATACTTTCAGTTTAATAAAAATAATTTAAGTATGATATCACATGTCTAAATATGATTATATACTGTATTTAACATTCAAGTCAAAAGGTTTATCCTTAAATTCAATAAACAGCCTAGGCATCGCCCGAGGCTCAAAACTAGTCACTAATAGATAAAACTGGTCTCGCAGTGAGGTGACACTTGGCATTCCAAGTTTTCACCAAGTGTCGCGCCACATAGGAGATAAACAGGTATTATTGTGACCTATATGATGCTTAGTAAGCGTTTTTTGGATAGATTTTTAAAGATAAAATTGTTACATAGAGTTTTATTTTCAATCAGTTTTATAGGGGTTACTTTGTGATGGTGTGGTTAGCCGCATACAAAATGCATTGTTATTTAATTTATTTATTTTTTAAAAATTGAGAATCAGTAAAATAAGTTTTAATAAGTAAAAATACTTTCAGTTCAGTGAAAATAATTGAAACAAAACTATACAAAGTACACTTCATATGATATCGTATGTCCACATATCTTACACTATCAGAATGAATTATTTGACCATATTTAACATTCAAGTAAAAATTATTAAAAAAATTTATCAACCATCTGGGCATCGCTCTTATAAAGGCGTCAACTACTTGTCTATTTTTGTAACATACTTTATTACTTTTTCAAATAAACATGAGTTAGTTATTGTCATTGTTGTGATTCATGTATCATGTTCGTATCTTACCCTTAAGAGTTAAGGCTTGAAAATAGATATGACAGCTTTTTGCAGCATGTCACTTGAATAAACCTCAGTAACCTCACTCTAGTTGGGATCTCATGTACTAATGTACGTAGCATATTTAAGGCCCAACGTTTTTGTTACGGGCTATGTAATCAACTTTGAAAGTTAGCCCATATGAAAATTAAAGCTGTAAGACCTATACTTACTAGATTTTGAGTAGTCTTACACGAGATACAACAATACTTAAGTTTAGAAATACAAATACTAAGAGCTTATATATCAATTAGGCTCTTATCAGCCAAAACGGAGGCAACTACATCATTTGGATTACGGGAAGCCAGAATAATAGAATATTATTCACAATCAACTGTCCCTCTGAGATAAGTCAGATCAAAGTTTAATACTTAAACTATAAATTAAAAACCTAATCATAAATAATCATGCTAAAGATCAAACATTTAATATTAGAGAAAGAAAATTTTAATTATAACGGTAGATAATTTGTTATTTTATAATATATTTGGAAAAAGGGAATAAAATAGAAAAAAGCTAAACTAAAAGATATTTTTTCTTAATGGTGAATTATACTATCTTTATTGCTTGACGATTTAATCATTAACAGCTATACTTCTATTGAAAAGAAAATCTATACTGGTTTTTTTTTTTTTTTTTTGGAGAAAGAGCGCGACTCTAATCTTGACCTATAAAATAGAGTAGGGAGAAAAATAGGAGGTTTTTAATAAGGCAACCAAATTCTGTACTGCTACATGAGAATGGATGGTATGAAGAATATGAATTTGAGGAAGAAAGACCGGTTAAGTTCTCTTCCAGATGATATCCTCTCCGTAATACTCTCTCATCTTCAAATAAATTCCGTCGTCGCCACCTCCATCTTATCCCGTCGATGGCGCTACCTTTGGACTACTGTCACCAATTTCAAATTCGAGCATGATAATCAATACCTTTCCAAACGAAGATCAATCAAATTCTCCACCGTTGTCGTCAACATCGTCCGACAACTGACCTCTCAGAAACTCGGTGTTTTCAAACTTCAGTTGAGTTCGCTGTCCAACTTATGTGACGCTAGTGTTGCAGATTTATGCTTCCGTGAAATTTGTGGCCGCAACGTGGAGCAGATCATTATTGAAGAGGTACCTGGTTATAATAATAATTTGTTTCCAATTCCCGCGTTTCTGTTTTCTTCCCAGAATTTGGTAGTTTTGATATTAAGAGGTATGATCAAGTTTAATTTACCAGAAAAAACAGATATTCAACTTCCGAATTTGAGGAAGATTAGTCTAACCTATCTTGTTAGCGTCCCTCATCAGTTTTTGGGGAGTCTATTTAGGTCTTGTCAGCGTTTGATCGATGCAGATTTGATGTTCAATGACTATATAACCCAACCCGAACCCCAAATTGTTCTGAATATATCAGGGCCGGAGCTAAGGTCATTGCAAATAAGGTTCTTGGCACATTTGCACACCCAACGACCCAAAATCCTCATTGATGCACCCGAATTGGAGACCCTTTATATAAATAGCTTTACTTCGGATTATTATTCCATCCAGAATCCAGCGAAATTAGTCAATGTATCGATTCAAATGTACATGAATGAGGAGTATAACTATTTTCGAGAAGAAGATTGTCTAAAGGAGATGTTCAAGTTTGTCAAGCAAATGTCTAGTGTTAGGAAGCTTTTTCTACGGGTACAGGCTAATGAAGTGACCAATGTTTATCGTTATTTTAACTCTGTGAATCTCAAGGATATGACAACCTTTCCTAATCTAGAACGGCTTGAAACGAATTTGGATTATGATGATTGGAAGGATTTGATACTTTCGATGAAATGCTTTCCTAACTTAAGGCACCTTAGAGTGGACATAAATATGGATACTTATACTGATGCAATGGATTGCGATTGGTGTGTACCGGAGTGTTTAAGTAAGTTGAAGACAATAGAGATATATGGAGTACATGATATTCGTTATGATCTCACGTTGCTAGAGTACATTCTAAGCAATGCACTTGTTTTGGAAAAGCTTCATGTACAACGTACAGGTTTAAAGTCTTTAAACCTGACTGATAACAAAGCGAAGCTACGTTATTTTTGTAAGTCTTTGTTCCAGCTACCCAGGGCATCTTCAACTTGTGAGATTGTGTTTCGTTTACGTGGGTTTGTTAGAGTATCAAGTAATGACTGGAAAAATAGAAAGGTTACACCAGAAAATTTCCGCGTTATTTAATTGACATTTCATATGCAATTTCTTGGTTTCCTAAAGACAACATTGTTCAATTAAGCCTATGGTTGACAAGTAATTGATTTCTATTTTCTCTTTCGTAAGCACATTGTTTGTGATACGCTTAAAATCACTTCTCGAAAGTGCTTGATGTGTAACAGCGATCTAGACCTTGCTATCCTATTTATTCCTCTTTCTATTTATCTTTATGTAATTTATAATAACTTTTACTAGTGCAATATAATTGTATTAGTAAAAAAATTTCTATAGTATGTGCCTCTATATGACATTTTTATGGTGTATAGATGACTCGAAATGTCAATATTTCATGCTCTATACTTGTGAATGCGAAATAATATGAACTACTATGAATATGTTCTGCTGTCATGAAGCTTAGAAGGGCACATATATTAATAACAAGTGATTGCCAAATTGTCTATTGAATTTAAAAAAAGATGTCAAAAGTTACAGATCCTTTAATCTGATTCAATGGATTTTGATCATTCATTGGGCATAGGCTGCCTTATTGATATATTTTTGTGCACCTTTTGCCTCCTAGCAAGTTAAATTGTGTTAAGTGCATATTGATTTTTAGCAAAGGGTGAATACACAAGTAGTCGTTTGAAAGCAAAAAAGATATAGAAGTGATAACTCCCCTTCTTGAAGGGATCGGATTTTCTAGTTTTATCTTGAAAACAGTAGTTAAAGATGATTAGTATGCCGTAAGGCTTAAACGATATTGAGGTAAATAACAATATTCCAAAACTGAACCTCTTTATCTTGTTTTCTTTTTTCTGTTCTCTCATCCTTTTCTTAGGAAGAAAGTAAATGCAGACAGGGCAGAGAGTTAGCTTTTAGCTATATGCTAATACAGAATGTTGTGCGTTCAAGGCAGTTGCTTTGTTGCAAAGAGAGTGTTTAGTTGGGTGGAAAACAAATTTTAGGAGAGTGTTTAGTTGGGTGGAAAACAAATTTAGACTTTAAATTTCACTGTTTGTTGCTTAACAATTTAATATGGTGTTCAAAGTATTTTGTTACAAAGTTTTTGCTTCAAAATTTTGACAATGTAAAAGACTATATCATGAGATCATATATAAAGGATCACTAGATGAAAAAGGTAATTTGGCACCGGTTCAAAACCGGTGCCAACTAAAGCATTTGGCACCGGTTAACCGGTGCTAACTACATGCTTTGGCACCGGTCAAATGTAAATGCGCGCTGTTTTTTTTTTTTTAATTTTAACTACAATTGGCACCGGTTAACCGGTTCCAATTATGCCTTCAAACAGTAAAAAAAAAAAAAAAAAAAAAAAAAAAAAAAAAAAAAAAAAAAAATCAACATACAATTTATTCATCAATTCAATTTATTCATCAATCAAATTTCAGCATACAATCCAAAACAAGAAATTGAACAAGGCTATATTCATCAAATAAATTGTTTTTTACAATTTATAAAAAAAAAACAGAGAAATTGCTGAAAAATAAATTACAATCCAAAACCCAGAAACTTCGAACTTCATACTCAGCTAATTCACGACCTTCAAACCGAAAATTAAAAAATCGGAAACTTCAAACCTGCATCAATTAAAACAATAAAATCAGATAAATTCAACAAAAATCGAACAAATAAACCCACAAAATCGAACAAATAAACCCCAAAAAAATCGAAAATCAATAGAACAAATAAACCCAAAAAATCGAACAAAAATCGATCAAAAAAACCCCTTAAAAACGAACGATTAACCCAGATAAATTCAACAAAAAAAAAACCAAAAATAAATAGATCAAATAAACCCCAAAAAAATCGAAAATAAATCGAACAAATAACCTCAAAAAATCGAACAAGGCACTAAGATTCAACCCAGATAAATTCAACCAAAAAAACAAAATATAAATAGAACAAATAAACCCAAAAAAATGAAAGCCAATCGAACAATTAAACCCAAAAATTCGAACACAAATCGATCAATTAAACCCCATTAAAAACGAACGATTTCGCACAAATACACCCACAAAGATTTAACCCACAAAACCCAGAAACCTAGAAAAAAAAAAAAACAAAACCCAGAAACCCTAAGAACACAGAAAAAACCGAGCAAAATCATGTAAAAACCCAGAACCCAGGAACCCGAAACCCAGAAATTACCCAGATTCAAGAACCCAGAAATCGGAAAACCCATAAATTACCCAGATTTAAGGCGGCGGCGATGTTTGTTGTGGTTGACGGCGACGGCTTGGTTGTTGTGCTTGGTTGGAGAAAGAAGAACAGAGATGAGAGGGGTCAAAGAAGCAGAACGAGATGAGAGAAGAACTACAAATTAAAGAAGAAGAATAGAGATGAGAGAGAAGAAGAGATCGAGATGAGAGATGAGAGATTAGGAAGGAGAGCTTGCAATTATTTCAGAGGTAGAGATCAGAGAATGAAAAACGAAGAAGTTGTTAGTATAGAATGAAAGACTGAATTGAAAAACGAAGAATGAAGAATTATATATTAAGGAATTGAAACCCAGTTTTATCTCATAAATGGCACCGGTTTGACCGGTGAACCGGTGCCAACTCTCTTCCATACCATTTTTTAATTTTTTTTTTTTTTTTTTTTAAGTTGGCACCGGTTTGAACCGGTGCCAATTACAGGATTTGGCACCGGTTTTAGTTCGAACCGGTGCCAACTCTCAATTTTTCACTCCCGCCCATTTCTTTTGGCACCGGTTTTCAAGAACCGGTGCTGAAGGAGGGGTGCCTATTTCATTTTTTCTACTAGTGGATGATCTAACTCTCATCCTGCGCTCTGACAGGATGATGGCATTCTTTCAGTCTTTCCTATGTCGTACCCCCTTTCTTCCCTAACCCTGCTACAATTATCAGATCAAGCGGAATCCTTAATCCCTTGCATCAACTTTTATGTGTGGCTGGTCGATCACACCGTGTGGCCAGCTAACATACGAGTAACCCCTGACCGACCGAGTAACCCCTGACCAAGCAACCTCTGAAGGACCGAGTAACCCATGATCGAGTGAGTAACCCCTGATGCAAGTAACTCCGACCATTCTTTCAAAACAAAAATTAAAGTATGTGGCTTGAAAGTTTGTGTATCCCTTGAGTGAATTGAACGCGAAAAAGCTTCATCAAAATTGTTTTTATTTAATTTTCAATACGACATAATGTTTTCTTAAAATGTATTTTGCCTCATTGATGAAAGAGCGAAGTATGCACAATACACAAGAACATTAGTGTTTACCTTCAAGTTTACATAAACTAGGCCTTAACAAATACTAGACCACAAGTAACTTGCATAGTTGCATTGAAATGCAATGTACACCAGTGATCAAGATAATATTCCATATAAAAGGCTATTCATTTTCAAAGATTATAGACCACATAATCTACTAAAATACATAAATAAATAAATTATCATAATCTAGTAAAATAAATAAATAAATATATTATACTTCATATGATGGAGTACTAATTTTCCTGAACAAGAATGTTGAAATATCATGTTATTATCATCTCTTATAGCATTGGTACATTTCAGGCCATTAGATTAAGATTAAATTAAAGAAAAATACACCATAACCAGATAGAAACCATTTACATGCATTGGAAAAATAAATCATTGTTAACATATATTAATGAACGCGAAAACAACAATAAGCAAGATCGAAATGAAGATCAAGCTAAGAACAATCAAATGCACGAAAACTATGTTACTCTGATCGGGAATCTATGTAAAATATGAGTACGTGTCTACCTAAGTGTTTGACTAGCTTATCTATAAATACTAGGTTAGTTACTCTGTCATGCACGGTAATTTTCAATAACCATTATTAAACTACGATTATAATTATTATTTTTTTTATAAACATTCTAAATATATAGTTGAAAAATTTTGATTATAATAAAGGATTACAAAAGATATGTTAGATATAAAATGATGTAGAATGATTAAAATTATGTTAATAATTTTTTTATAGCTATATAAATATTTGTGTTAAACATATGTCAAATCTTTTTTTATTTTAAGTAAGTATATTGTATAAGATTAGGGAATTATTTTTGTATAAGATTTAATTTCTTTAATTGGATTTCATTCAAAAAAAAAAAAAATACTAAGGACACACCAGAAGATGACACGTGTCATTACTGGTGTGTCTTTTAGTATATTGTTATTGATTTTCCATTACTTTGGCCTAAAATGAATTTCTTGTCTGTCATGTCCGTATCCAGCACAAGTGAGGTGAGGCGAATTGAAGAGTTCAAGCAAGTAACATATAGGTGAAAAATAAAAAGAATGAGAACTGTTATACTTCATGGGAAATCTCTTCCTTGCCAAAGAGAATTGGTCCTTTATTCATCTTGTTTCAAATTATGACTTTGCAATTTTTTTACAGAAAATAATCATTATTAAATATGAGTCGTAACAAGAAAACACGCGCACAAAAGCTTCAACGAACACAGTCAAGGTGAAAATTTGTTAAACTTGTTGAGAAACATGATTGAATTGAACTTCACATGTGGTAATTAAAGTCAATGAAGACTTTACTAAGTACAATAATTTGTATAAAGTACAATAATGTATATTATTATATTCAATTATTTTGGCTATATAAATGAAAGTTCACGTATTGTGAACTTAAGTTGAAAAACAAGAAAAGAGTTTTCCTACCATTCTACTACTTACTTCCTATCTTCATCCCTTCACTGATAAATATCTTACCATCAGTAAAATATTTTTAACACGTTATCAGCACCAGTTTTCAGTCAGGTATATCTATACCTACTTCTAAAAATTTATAACAAATAATACTATCTAATTCTAAATGTTTCGAGGAGTATGCTCTATAGTTGCCCATATTTGGGATCCTCTATACCAGAAACTCAAACATTTACTGTATTATATATACCTCAAAACAACGGTGAAAGTTCTCTTACTTGTGAATTCATTACTATCATCTTTTGTTTTATTCATGTTGATGTTTCTTTGTTTGATTCATGTTGGTATTACATACTCATTTTACGTAAATTTTTATCTTAGTTATTATAATTGCTAAGTAGTAGCTTTGCATGCATATTATTATTAACTAGATTAACAAAAAGATGCAGCCTTTTTATACTTATTATTTTTCTTACTTTTACATACTTTTTGTGTTTCTTTCCGTTTTCGAACCCATGATCTTTTATAGATATTAGGGCTCTCGGACCACTATGGCTTGCATTCCCAGTGTGATAACCTTTTACAGTTATAAATATATATATATATATACGGACCATAATTTTATGCCAGTACATTAGACTATTATATGATATATTTACAGTTGTACAGAACAGTAACGGATAAACCTACCTCTATAAAAGACGGATTTTTCCCCCAATTTCACCACAAATCCTTTATCTCTTCCCACTTTTTATCCAAAAATCACCTAAAAAAAAAAAATTCACCCCCTTCTTCTCCGATATGTTCCCTGACGACGGCAACCAAAACACCCAAAACACCCACAACTTCACTTTTGAGGAAGATTTAATGAAGATAAAACAATATTTCCTTCTAATTACGGCGCTTGTAATTTTATTAGTAGCAATATTAATTTTTGTCATTATGTATAAGTAAAACTCACTTATTTTGTCGTTTTAGTATATTAAAAGCTTGTTTTTGTTTTATTATGTATGTTTGTTGTTATTAATCATCATTGTATAATATTACCGTTATCATTATAATTATTGTTACTACTGTCATTGTTGTCGTTTTGCTGTTTTTTTTGCAACTAACATGATTAATTTTTGTCTAATCATATAATTACTCACAATAATAAACCAAGGGGGAGAAAAGACTATATTACTTATGGTTTATTATTATTAAATTTAATTATCACGTGTCTTATTAACTTAAATATAAATATGGAAGAACTAAACATGTGAGTTGTACATATAATTTGTTATTATAATCTAATTATCACGAAATTTGTTGTAGCTAAAATGGGAGACCTTATGAAAAGACAGTTCAACATCTTAGGTTTATCTGGAAAGAAATTTCTGGAATGGAAAGTGGACGCAATGATGAATTTGAAAGCTCAAGGCTTGGAGCACACTGTTAAAGAAAATAAAAACCCCCCTGGTCAAACAACTGATACTACCACTTCTGCAATGACGGTTGAAAAACCCATTACCGAACAAAAAAAGGCAAAAGCCTTAGTGTTACTAAGGCATCATTTACATGAAGGCCTTAAAACTGAGTACATGATGGTTGAAGATCCCAAAGAATTATGGGACTGCCTTAATGAAAGATTTGGACACCACAAAAGGGTGCTCCTTCCTAAGGCATTATTTGACTGGACAAATTTACGGTTCCAGGATTTCAAATCTGTAATAGATTACAATTCAACCATACATGAGATAGTATCTATATTGAGATACTGTGATCATCCAGTCACCGATGAACAAATGATTGAAAAAACACTCACTACCTTTCATACAAGCAACATACTGTTGCAAGAACAATATCGTGAAAGAGGTTTTAAGAAGTTTAATGAATTAATGAGTGTATTGCTTGTTGCGGAACAAAATAGCGATCTTTTGTTGAAAAATCATAATCTCAGACCAACTGGGTCTTTGGCCACTCATCATGAGGCAAATGCAACAAATTCCTATCCACCCGAGTCAAATGCTACAAGAAGAGGTGGACGTGGAAATTACAATGGCCGTGGAAGAGGCCGTGGAAATTATCGCGGACGCGGCCGTGGTCGTGGTAGAAATAATTTTCAAAGAAACAGTAATTTCAAAAATTTTGAAAAACAGAAGGGACAGTTATCTGGAAGCCACAAACAAACTCCTTCAAAAGGAAAAGACACATGTTACAGATGTGGCATGACAGGACATTGGGGACGTACTTGTCGAACGGCCAAACATTTGGTAGACCTTTACCAGGCTTCTGTAAAAGGTAAAGAGAAAAATGCAGAAGCAAATTATGTTAATGAGGAAAATGCTCCTTGTCCCGGCCTTGATGTGTCTGATTATTTCATGGATAATGCTGAAATTGGAAATGATTTCATTCTTGGAGAAAACAACAATACTTAGGTTTCTCATCTACTAATGTAACATATGCTATGTTTTAATGTATTTTCTTAGTTCCCTGTATTTTAATGTACTTTTAATCTCTATCATCAATAAAAGTTTGTATGATATTATTCTAAACTAATCTCAAATTTATTTTATGAAGATATGGATCTACCTGAAGTTAGTTCCGAATATCAATGCCTTTTGGACAGTGGAACAACGCACACTATCTTAAAAGATAGAAATTATTTTTCACAACTAAAGTTGTTTCAAGCAAATGTAAACACCATTTCCGGGTCAGCTAAATTAATTGAAGGATCTGGAAAGGCTTGTATAATGCTTCCAAATGGAACAAAATTAATAATCAATAATGCTTTATATTCGAGTAAATCTCGAAGAAATCTCATAAGCTTTAAAGATGTACGCCAAAATGGCTATCATCTAGAAACAATGACGACAGATCAAAAAGAGTATATATGCCTCACGGCAGAAAAACATGGCAAGAAATATATATATGAGAAATTGTCAGCATACTCTTCGGGGTTATATCGTATAAACATACGACCCGTGGAAATCAATATGGTATCTAACCAGAAGTTAGATGACAAACATTTGACTATTTTATGGCATGATCGTTTGGGACATCCAACAACTGGGATGATGCAAAGAATAATAGCACATTCAGTTGGACATTCAATAAGAAATGTCAAAATTCCCCGATCAGATGAATTAACATGCTCTGCATGCTCACTTGGCAAATTAATAATAAGGCCATCTATGAACAAAATTGCTACTGAATCTCCAAAATTCTTGGAAAGAATTCAGGGAGACATATGTGGGCCAATTAATCCAGCATGTGGACCATTTCGATATTTCATGGTTTTAATTGATGCCTCTACACGATGGTCACATGTTAGTCTACTTTCAAGTAGAAATGTTGCCTTTGCAAAATTACTTGCCCAAATCATCAAATTAAGAGCACAATTCCCAGATCATACAATAAAGAAAATAAGACTTGACAATGCTGGGGAATTTACATCCCAAACATTTAATGATTATTGTATGTCAATTGGAATTGATGTTGAACATCCAGTAGCTCATGTCCATACACAAAATGGTCTAGCTGAATCACTAATTAAGAGATTACAATTAATTGCAAGACCATTATTAATGAGGTCAAGATTGCCATCATCTGCTTGGGGACATGCTATAATACATGCAGCAGCGCTAATTAGATTGAGACCTACAGCTTATCATAAATTCTCACCACTACAACTTGTTTGTGGTCGAGAACCAAGTATCTCACATCTAAAAATCTTTGGTTGTGCTGTATATGTTCCCATTGCTCCACCCCAACGAACAAAAATGGGTCCACAAAGAAGGCTGGGAATTTATGTCGGGTTTGAATCCCCCTCTATAATTAAATATCTTGAACCATTGACTGGTGACTTATTTACGGCTAGATTTGCGGACTGTCACTTTAATGAAACAGTATTCCCAGTCTTAGGGGGAGAGAAAGTGGACCCACGTAAGAAAGAAATTGAACTCATTTGGAATGCAACACAACTGTTGATGTTAGACCCACGAACAAATATGTGTGAACAAGAAGTTAAGAAAATTGTTCATTTACAAAGTGTTGCAAATCAATTGCCTGATGCATTTGTAGACACAAAGAAGGTGACAAAATCACATATACCAGCAGAAAATGCCCCTGCACGTATTGAAATCCCAACTGGTAATAAGGCCATAGAAAATGAATCTCAGGCACGCAGAAAGCGTGGAAGACCACTTGGTTCAAAAGATTCTAAGCCAAGAAAATTGAAAAGATTGGATGGAATAGAAAATGAGACTAATGATGTTCCCCCGTCAGAAGGTCAAGAAAGACCAAATGTGGATGAAAGTAAAGAAAATGATGATAATCCAAAAGGGGACGAACAAGAAGACAACCCTACGGGGAATGAACAAGATGTTCAAAACATCGATAACAATGAAATTTCAATGAATTACGTCTCTACAAAGACTCAGTGGAATAGGAAAGATGTTAGCGTTAATGAAACATTTGCAAATTCCATCGCAATCGACATCGTGTCTGATGAAAATGATGTTGAACCAAGAACTGTAGAAGAATGTCGACGTAGGAGTGATTGGCCAAAGTGGAAGGAGGCAATGCTGGCTGAGTTAAAGTCACTTGAAAAACGAGAAGTTTTTGGGAAAATAACCCTTACACCAGCAGGTGTAAAACCCGTTGGATACAAATGGGTATTTGTGAGAAAACGTAATGAGAAAAATGAAATAGTTAGATACAAAGCAAGACTTGTAGCCCAAGGATTTTCTCAAATTCCAGGGATTGATTATGAAGAAACATATTCTCCAGTGGTTGATGCAACTACATTAAGATTTCTGGTAAGTTTGACAGTCACAAAAGGACTGCAAATGCGATTAATGGATGTAGTGACTGCGTATTTGTATGGGTCACTCGATACGGACATTTACATGAAAGTCCCCGAAGGACTAAAACTACCAGAAAACCACAAGCCTAGACAACTGCTTTCCATAAAGCTAAAAAGGTCACTTTATGGATTGAAACAATCTGGAAGGATGTGGTACAACCGTCTGAGTGAATACCTTATGAGAGAAGGATTCAAAAACAACCAAGTTAGTCCTTGTGTTTTCATAAAGCGATCACAATCAGGATTCGCTATCATTGCAGTTTATGTTGATGATTTAAATATCATCGGAACCCCAAATGAACTCGAGAAAACTGCAAAATACTTGATGAAAGAATTTGAGATGAAAGACCTTGGGAAAACTAAATTTTGCCTTGGACTACAAATTGAGCACTTGAGTCATGGCATTTTTGTCCATCAATCAAACTATACAGAAAGAGTTTTGAAACGTTTCTTCATGGACAAAGCAACCCCAACCAACTTCCCAATGGTTGTTCGTTCTTTGAATATGAAAAATGATCCATTTAGACCCCGAGAAGAAAATGAAGAGATTTTGGGTCCAGAAGTACCATACTTAAGTGCAATTGGAGCCTTAATGTACTTAGCTAACAATACTAGACCCGACATAGCTTTCTCTGTGAATTTGTTAGCCAGGCACAGCAATGCACCAACATATAGGCATTGGAAGGGAGTTCGACACTTACTCCGGTACCTACGAGGGACACAAGACCTTGGTTTATATTACCAACCAAAACAAGATGCTGCTCTCATTGGGTATGCAGACGCTGGATACTTATCAGATCCTCAAAATGCCAAGTCACAAAATGGATATGTGTTCACTTATGGCGGCACTGCAATATCATGGAAATCAACAAAGCAGACATTGACCGCGACATCATCAAATCATGCAGAGTTGATAGCCCTCTATGAAGCAGGACGGGAATGTGTGTGGCTGAGGTCGATGACCAGTAATATCCAAAAGGAGTGTGGAATGAACACAATAACAGAAGACCCAACCATCATCTTTGAAGACAATACAGCATGTATCGCTCAAGTAACTGAAGGATATATTAAGGGAGATAAAACGAAACATATTGCCCCAAAACTGTTCTTCACACATGATCTGCAAAAGGACAAGGAAATAAATATCCAGCAAATTTAGTCTTGTGAAAATCTTGCCGACCTTTTCACCAAATCACTTCCTTCGAAGAAATTTGAACAGTTAGTTCACAAAATCGGAATGCGACATCTTCGTGAACTATGCTGAGATCAGGGGGAGTATTATATGTACTGCACTCTTTTTCCCTTCGATCAGGTTTTTATCCCACCGGGTTTTTCCTGACAAGGTTTTTAACGAGGCAGTATACCAAAGCATATAATACTATATCGTTGTACTCTTTTTCCCTAGCTATGGTATTTACCCCATAAGGGTTTTACCTAGCAAGGTTTTTAATGAGGCAACTTGTACCCCATTCCATGTGAACGTTCAAAGGGGGAGTGTTGAGAAACATGATTGAATTGAACTTCACATGTGGTAATTAAAGTCAATGAAGACTTTACTAAGTACAATAATTTGTATAAAGTACAATAATGTATATTATTATATTCAATTATTTTGGCTATATAAATGAAAGTTCACGTATTGTGAACTTAAGTTGAAAAACAAGAAAAGAGTTTTCCTACCATTCTACTACTTACTTCCTATCTTCATCCCTTCACTGATAAATATCTTACCATCAGTAAAATATTTTTAACAAAACTATATATATTGAATCGGTGACTGAGTTGGTTCACAATTGTGTAGTTTATTGTACATGAGTACATGACCGTATTGTCCTTCCTTGTACGGAGTACTTAATAGTTTATTTGTTCTTTCTTCGTTATAAGTGAAGAGAAACTTTAACTCTGTTGCGACGTTTGAAGTTAGTCAAAATCCGACCGAACCTTGAAGCAAAAAAAAAAAAAAAAAAAAAAAAAAAAAATAAAACTAACAGAACCAGGTAAATATTTGTGTTTTCTTTGTTTATCTTTTAATTGCTTTCTCTTTCTTGACAGTCATGAATATCTATTAGATAAAATTAAAAAATGATTAATCAGTGATCTAATGTTGAATTGGTAATTAATTTTTCAACTTATTTTTTTTTTTTTTCCGGGAACCGATCAAGCAAGCTTTATTAATCAATCAAAGGGCTTAAATCAGCCATTACAACCTCAGCAATACTCGAAGGAACCTCTTTCACCCACACTCTAAATGAGTCGAAGGAAGAACAAAGTTTAGCTAGAGCATGAGCAACTCGGTTGCAGTTCCTTTTAACAAAAGAAAAATAGCAAGAAAGACAACTACTAGAAAGCTGAAGTATATCATTTATGATTGACCCAAATGCAGTAGCAGGTGAGCAGCGCTTGATCAAATGGTTATGAAGCTTGAGGCTATCCGTTTCCATACAAACATTCCTGAAACCCGAGTCGATAGCAATGCTTAAGGCGTGTCTCATAGTAAGTGCCTCTGCAATGTCAACATCAAAGTTACCATGAAAGGGCAAGAAAGTTGAGGCAACTACATCACCCTCAGCATCTCTAATAACACCCCCTAACCCCACATCATTCATTCTGAAAATTGTTGCATCCGAGTTGACTTTAATTACCCCTTGTGGAGGTAATTGTCATCGATCAACCAGCTGCGGGCTTGCCTTACTCACGCCAGGAACATGCTGAGCCAGAGCATACTCCCCTGCCATGCCCACGGATTTGTATATAACCCCAGTCACCTCCTTTTTCCACCCCTCAAACACCCACACGTTTCTTAGGAGCCAAATTCCCCACAATAAGCACAAGAACAAACTCCACCACTCTCCATCCTTATGCCTCCTGCGAACAGAGACACACCATTCCCAAAAAGAATCCTTTTCATACCACTCAACCTCGAGACGTAGAGGGGAGAGATACTAGATGAAGGTTCAATGGGCACTCAAGAGGGGGGGGGGGTGAATTGAGTGTTAAGTAATCGTTGGCTAATTTTGCTTCTTTTCGGATTATGTGTGAGGAACCAGTTGTGCTGGTTCCCGTACGCAGCGGATTATAAATAAGCAATAAAGAAGACAACAAATTTAACGAAATAAAACAAAGCAATAAAGAACACAACAAATTTAACGAGGTTCAGCCAACTCAGGCCTACGTCCTCCTATCCTAAGTTCTTTATTAATCTACTCCGAAAAACAAAGACAAAGAACACTCTGCTGTTCCCTACTCCGGGAACCAGCAAACCCCACACTCTACTCCGAGTATGCTCTCAACTTACCCTCGTAAGTTCTAAACGTGTTTGAACTCACAAACACTCACCCAGCCTTTAGCCTCTTTGCCAAAGACTCAATTACAAGATCAAAACTCTCTAATGATCTAACTCTCAAAAGTTAATGTAGAGAAAATATTAAACACTAGATGCTCTTGTATATGACTTGATGAATGGGATTAGTGCTTAAGTATATGCTCTCAAATAATTGCTCTTTTAATTTCTAGAGAGGCACACGAAATATGTGAAATAAGATGAGTTTATATAAGCTTAGATTCCTAAAACCTAGTTTCCTTAAATCACACAATCTTAGAGAATAAGATATAATGTAATTTTAGGAAAGTTTTTATCTTATTTGATTTAATCACAAAGATAGAATCAATTAAGATAAATACTCCTAGTTTTTAGGTAACCAAGAATATTTCATCTTATTTCCAGCTGCACAAAATATTTTCAAGATAATCTTTTCGAAAAAATCTTTTTGTAAAATCTTTTTCCAAAACGGCAGCTCGAATACAGTGAACCTGGTTCCCCAACCTGGTTCCCTGAATTGAAACATGTTATGAAACCTGTTCCAACTTTGTACCAGATTTCATATCATACTTTAATATACTTTTAAGCACTTATATAACCCAAACATGCAAGCATACTACGGAGCATATTACATGAAAACCTAGATAACATATTAAAGCATAAATCGTCTTTTCTTCATGTAATCTTCAAGACTTGAATCTTCCTTGAATACTTCTATTATGAGCAAACAATCTTTCTTCGAAATATCTTCGAAAGGCTTCTATGCTCCAAGTCTTGGAATCAACTCAACTACTGCACATGTAACATGGTTAATGCACAATAAAGAGTATGTGACTGCTTTACCACGTAGCAACCATGGAAACAGTACATACTGGTTCCCTACCAGTACATAACACTTTTATCATATAACTGTTCCCTGTATAAAGACAAGTTAGTTCAATAAGAAAACTCATGTAAGTAATAACTTGTCTGGGAAAACAGTGTTCTATGTTAGCTGGTTCCCCTAACTGTATCGAACACTTTCAAGGACCTGTTTCCCTTAGCTGTTTGTCATCATTCAAAACTATCAATCAAAACCTAAGGGACTCAACAAATTCCCCCTTTTTGATGATGACAAACTTTTGAAGTTCCTGAACCTGTGAACATGCTCAAAAAGAAAAACCGTCAAAAACTTCAAGGACTCAAAACTCTTTGGAACAAGTCAGTTAGGCCAACTGGTTCCCTAAACAGAAAATAGAAAATACGAAATAAAAAGACTCAAACTGACTCAATCTAAACTAGCTAAACCTTAGGCTTCAACTTCAGACTACTTCCCCCTTTTGGCATCATTAAAAAGTATCCACAAGTAAAAGCAATGTGCACAAGTTAATGTGCTTATCCATACAATGGCATCAACCACCATTCAAGCATTATGCTGCAAAAAGAGATTAGTCAAACAGTTCATACCATAGCAGAGTTAGTAGTTCATACAAGCCAACAAAGTTCAACCAAAGAAGCCAAAATCCATCCAAAAAGAAAGTTCATGGAATGGAGAGAAGTAGACAGACCAACAAAATCAGTTATTTTAGAATAAATATGAGGGTGAGGAAACAAGAACAGAAACAGCATCACTCCTCATCATCATTCTCGTTCCCTTCCTCCTCCTCAAACTTTGCAACATCTTCTGTATTATCATCTGATTCCTCTTCATCTTTGTCACCATGCTCTGCCAAAATCATTATATTACTAAGCATATTCTTGTGATTCCCCAATCTGTTTCAAAACCACTTCCTGACCTGCTGGTTCCTCTTTTTTTTTTTTTTTTTTTTTTTTTTTTTTTTTTTTTTTTTTTTTTTTTTTTTTTTTTTTTTTTTTTTTTTTTATAAATCATGAGAGATATGTACTGATTCAGAATGTTCTCCTTGTTGCATAACGAGTGCAAAACTAGCATCACATCAATCAAGCAAGGAGGTTCTTGCTGGTACCCTTTTTCTCTTGGTTCCTGGAACAGCGTCAATGGACTGTTCCTCCTGCACCTTCTCAGTGAACTTCTTTAATTGAGTTACTCTACTTCGTACCATGGTCTTAGCAGTGGGTGTCTCCTCATAATAACCAACAACCTCTATTTCATCCTTTTCACTTTGACTTTTCTGAATTTCCTCCAACTTCGGGCTTAAGGACATTTATGCTTCCTTCTGATGTTCCCCCTGAGACTGAGCTGGTTCCTTGAGTGAACAGTAACCAAATGAACAATGATGAATTTAAAGCATACGAGAGAGAGAAAGAGAATTTCGAGTGATGATGATTGATGATCTGCACAAAGGGTTAGTGTATATTTTAACAATGAAGCACAAAGAGAGAAGAAGGAAAGAAAAGAGTTAGTTGAGCCAATAAAAAGCAACTGTAAAGGATATTTTTAAAATTGAAATCAAAAATTTGGTAATTATCTTTTACCATAATTATCTCAACCAACTATAAATAAGGCATATGATATGTTTGCCTTTTATATGGGATTAAATAACTGAAATAAGATAAATTCCTTCCAAAAGGAAATATCTTATAGTAATCTTCCGAAAATAAAAGATATTATCGGATGACATATCAGAGCTGGTCTGCTGTTTCCCTTTGCTGGTACCTGTATAGAACCATGTCACGCTGTTTCTGGCAATTCAGCCTGATTTCACCTGTTTCTTACAACAATGATTCTCAATCCTTTTGAGATTTTGAACCATCTACACAACACTTGAAAGATATCAACATAAGTATGTACACACACTATACAAGAGAATACCATTCTAACCAATCATTGAAGGAAGTAATTGAAGCCAATACCTAAAGTCTAACTAGACCTAAAAGGACTCTTAACCTACAAAAAGACTCTCTACACAAAGGCTTTGTGAAGATATCAGCAATTTGATCTTCACTTTTACAAAACAACATCTCCACCAATCCTTTTTCCACATTGTCTCTTAAAAAATGGTGTCTTATTTCAATGTGTTTTGTCTTGGAGTGTTGCACAGGATTCTTTGAAATATTGATTGCACTAGTGTTATCACAGAAAATAGGAACACTTTTATAAATAACACCAAAATCTTTCAGCTGGTTCCTTATCCACAGTAGCTGGGAACAGCATGAAGCTGCAGCTATATATTCAGACTCTGCCGTGGATAGGGCCACTGAATTTTGCTTTTTAGAACCCCATGAAATTAGACAAGAGCCAAGAAAGTGTGCCATACCTGATGTGCTCTTTCTATCAACTAAGAAACCAGCATAATCTGCATCTGTGTATCCAATAAGATCAATGGTACTGCCTTTGGGGTACCACAATCCCAGATTTGCTGTTCCTACAAGATACCTAAGTATCCTTCTAACAGCCTTCAAGTGAGATTCCTTTGGATTGCTTTGAAACCTAGCACACAAACCAACAGAAAACACAATGTCAGGTCTACTAGCTGTTAGGTAAAGTAGAGAACCTATCATTCCTCTATAAAGAGAAGCTTCAACATCTTTTCCCTTAAGATCAGCATCTAATTTTGTAGATGGGGGAACAGGTGTATCATAAGCTTTGCTGTTCTCCATGCCGAATTTTTTCAGCAACTCTTTTAAGTACTTTTGTTGATGGATCATTATTCCATCATCCATTTGCTTAATCTGCAGCCCTAGGAAGAATCCTAGTTCTCCCATCATGCTCATTTCAAATTCACTCTGCATAAGATTAGCAAATTCATCACATAAAACCTGATTAGTAGCACCAAATAAAATATCATCAACATAAATTTGTACTACAATCAAGTGTTTCCCCCTGGTTCTTATGAACAAGGTCTTGTCTACTGTTCCCCTCTTGTAATCATTTGCCATCAAGAAATTGGACAATCTTTCATACCAAGCCCTCGGAGCTTGTTTCAACCCATATAATGCTTTGTCCAACTTGTACACATGTTGGGGGAACAGTGCATCTTCAAAACCAGGTGGCTGCTCCACATATACTTCTTCCTTTAAATATCCATTGAGGAAGGCAGTCTTAACATCCATCTGAAACAGCTTAAAATTCATGTGAGCAGCATAAGCAATTAAAATCCTAATAGCCTCTAGCCTAGCTACTGGTGCAAACGTCTCATCATAATCAATTCCTTCTTGTTGATTGTACCCTTGCACCACTAGCCTTGCTTTGTTTCTGACTATAGTACCAAGGTCATCTAACTTGTTTCTAAAGACCCATCTAGTGCCAATGACTGATCTTTCCTTGGGACGGGGAACCAGGTGCCAAACCTGGTTCCTCTGAAACTGATTTAACTCATCTTGCATAGC